TTTAGGGAATATATTACACAATATAAGTTCAAAATGTATAAAAAGTATGTATGGTTTCAGTCGATTACGTAATTTATCAATTCTAACGAACGACTTAATTATTCACCTTTTTTTTCCTGCTAACTATCCATTTTTGAAAGAGATCTAGCTGGAAATCTTTAAGTTCATGAAAGGTAAACATGTAAAAAAAGGACTACGTTACTGAAATGACAAATAGTTCTCTTGATTTTTTGAACGGTAAACTCAAAATATACTCACATATCAAATTTGTAAAAACTTTTGTTCTGTTTTATAGTATATGAAATCTTACTATGTCTCACTTTATCTTTCAGAAAATTGAAAATATACATTCATTAGATGTAACAGAATTCTAAATTAATTTATTCCATTTCATTATAATTTTCATGGTACCTATTGTCAATAATAAATGATGACCTGTCTTATCATTCCTTTTTGCCTTTATAGAAAAAGAATTCTTTTGTATGTTATATTATTCAGTATGAAATGTATTTTCAACAAAATCAATAAAAGGGGGGGTTTTCTGAAGAATTTAGTAATTTTTCATATAGTTGAAGTCATTACTCAATTGAAGGTAGACCACCATGGGAAACCTGGAGGAGTCCCACAATAGGATGAAACGGTCATCCATTGCTTCCAGGTTTTCCATGATGGTCTAGTTTTAAATGACTCATGATTTCAACTATATAAAAAATCAATAAAACCTTATCAATCAACGTCCAAATTTATAACTTTCTTCTTTATCTATGTATATTCAGTTTTAAATCAAGTAACTGATATGATAAATTGACTAATGGAATCAACAAATAATACTTGATCATCTATAATTAATTAATTCATATCATTTCAATTAAAAATATACATGAAATGATTTTTGTTTAAAATAGCTTAAGTGCATAGTGATAATAAAAAAAGAGTAGGGATCAAACAATTTTACTGGAATTGTATTCTCTAAGCTTTTAAAATTATGTGAACATGTGCCAAAATGGTTGAAGAAACAAATAGAATCAAATGACCCGATAAGAGTAGAGGATAAACATCCATCATCCTCTATTACCAAACATATAGTCGAAACAGGCCATAAGATTGATCTTAACTCGGCTTTTGTGGTGTTGTATAAAAAAGTGTAAAAAGGCGTATACTAAGGTTTATTGAAGCTTTAGCCATACGAAAATTCAAACCCCCTCTTTGTGTATTTAAAAACAGTTTGTTCTTACCTTACCCTGGTAATTTTAGCTTATTATCCAGGGTGATTAGGTTTCAAATTGTTTTCACATTATTATTACTATCCTTGTCTCCTCTTACCCCCCCCCATTTCCAGTCTAGTTGACCTTTCATTTTTATATATAAATGGTCTTAACAATTAGATGTGTGATCAGATTGTTCGAAATGTGTTGCGTTAATATATTATATAGTTCTGATAATCTTCGTCTTCTTATTACATTATGGAAACTTATCAAAAGGGACTAATTGCTTTAAATCATCATTTTTGTCAATTACAAATCATCATTACCTTATCGACCTGAGTGGTTTTATATGAGCGTATATGTGTGTACATCTTATCCTACTCATCACATACCTGTAGCCTATTTTTGTGTGACTATAAATGTTAATTAACGCTTGGCTACATGAGGTTGGTTCACATGCCTTCCCCACTTTGCGTCATTTAGCTTCACTCTCTCGTCTTCGCTACGTCTCCGTAATTGTCTGTTCCGACCAACGACTGTACAAAATATTAGTATTCATAATCCATTCGAGTATTTCGCTTATTTTAATACCGTTATTTACTAACGTGGATTAAGTCGATAATTATATACGGCGATAGACGATACGTATATTTCAATAACACTTATACGATCCAACTGGAGTCAGATTGAGGGCCACTAAACAACTTTAATTATTCATAAATTATATGATTAAATCCTCATATTTATAATGCCAATTGTTCTTTGATTTCTATTTTATTATCTTAAAAGATTAAGTCAATATTTTTACTAAACATATTTCAGAAGTATTTTAAGCATCTAAGAATATGAAGCTTCATAGTCTTACTATAAAACCTGTAAAAATGTTGTCCATAACATTAAAGTTAGTCAGAGTGGTGGGTATTAATATAAATTCAGGTCACTTTTAAAAAATATAAGTATTTCTCTACCTAAAATCGTCTATGTTTATCCGTTATTTTCAACAGTTATAATGAAAGTAAGGGATAAACATGAGATTTACAATTAACACTTAAAATTAAAAAAAAATTTGTTATTACTCGAAGTGTGGTGTTAGCTACTGATGTCGATAGATATAAGTAGTATGTATCATCAATCAAAATACCTGGCAGCAAAAGGTTAAGAAGATCGAAGAAAGAGAACGATAACAAAGAATGATTGCTGTGGAATTGAAGAAACAATGAAGTCTGAGACGATTGATTGATATTTTGTAAAAGAAACAGTCAAGTTTGAGACGATTTATTTTTTGTAAAGTATTTTCAGCTGTTTTTGATGAACTATTTACTTCAGAAAAGAAATAGGCCATAGAAATAAATCAGTAATTGGTTATCACTTTTCTTTCTTCTTTTTAAGAATCAAATACTTATCTGTCATTCATAAGATTTGATAAATGTTTTTGAATGATGTAAACTTTTTGAACGAACTAAAAACTTTCGTTTGATATTTTCATCTAATGATGATTAGGTCAGATAACTTATTAAGACTAATTATACTGAAATTAATTATGAACATTGGGAGCTGAAAGAAATGTTTCATCCTTGATACATTTCAAATTACAGAGAAACTGTTATGATATCACTATACATTTATAAGTCTATTTAGTAAGGTCGTTAATTTATTAAATCCATTCACAATAAGTCTGACTACGTCAATAAAAACTAATAATCTTGACTCAACTTGTTGTACTCAATAGGTATAATGATAGCTCTTCTTAATTTACTTATACCAATCAACCCATCAAAATAGAACATTGGAAAACCAAGTTTAATTACTAGGTAAATTTTAAAATTCAAATTTTACATGATAATATTGATAAAAATTTCAAGAAATTAATATGGACAATAAATAAGAAATCATAATCTATACATATTTAGGTAATTTATAGAGAAAAAAATTTGTTTAATTATTTATGTTTTTATTTAAACACATAAATATTGGTACATGAAGGCACCAGATATATATGCGCCACACAAATCAAATGAGATTTGTGTGAGGACTGTGATACTGTCCAGGTACCCAAACTGAAGCAGGCAATTTTCTTAGAGGGTCACATTCGGAGCCTCTGACCTAAAGATCTGATCCACAAGGCAGTGGAGCATCGTGAGAGGATGCAGTCTCATGGTAGCCGGTGACCAACAATTGATTCATAATCCATTTGTTCCCTCAGGATACTGGATCTCATGTACACCATTGATTTAGAATCAGGGTTTTCCAACTCCCCTATGTGAACTATCTGTGTCCACCAACCCAGTTAAAGTGTCGGACATTCGCTTTCCGTCCTCTCAATTTCGTAAACAACACCCGTGGCACGAGAAGGCAGTGAGTAGGACTTCCCTAGCAAAGGCTATATATTCGCGTGGCCATGTGAAAGCATTTGGAGAGGGAGAGCGTACTCTCCCCACTCTCGGCCGTATCAGGGCATTTGTAGGCTCTCTTTTTCTCTTATAGAGAAAAAAAACTGATTACCAAGTAGATAATTAACTGCAATTTATGAGCGGTCGAAAAATCTATCACTAACTAGTAAGTTAAATGAAAATATAAAAATATCATAAACAGAAATTTAGTAAATACTAGCCAAACATTATAAATAATAATTCATTCGAGAGTAATCCTTCATTCATTCACATTTAATTGTTAAGTTTTCTATTTAGTTTTCAATACTCCTATAATAGAAGTCACACTATAATAAAACATCACTTTAATTATAATACTCATCATAAGAATACCAAGTAATTTTATAAAAAAATCTCAAAGCCTATTCTATTGGCCTAGATCTGTTTTATTACGTTTAATCATACTACAATATTTTGTAGGTATCAACGTCAAGGTTAGACTTGATAGTTTAAAATAATTTTATAGTTGAATTCATGAGTGGATTGACGCTAAGCCACTATGGTAAACCTGGAAGCACTGGACGGTCGTTTCGTCCTATTGTGGGACTCCTCAGCAATTGGATACCGGTTAAGTGGTCTTGAGGTTAAGCGCTTGCGCGCGAGACTGATAAGTCCTGCATTAGAATCTTGTGAGGCGGGATCGTGGATGCACACGGCTGAGGAGTCCCACAATCGGTAGAAATGGCCGTCCAGTGCTTCCAGGTTCTTCATGAGGGTTTAGCTTTAATTAACTTATGAATTCAACCATAAAATCACTAAAATCTCCACAAAACACCTTCTGGTAGTTTCAAATAAATTGAGCATTTAGTAGATAGTTAATACTATGTATTATTTTTTTCTATCACTAATTAAATGGAAAAAATTGTATTTCCGACGTTTCGTAACTTAAATGTAAGCCACTTCTTCAGAGAAAATAATTTATTTGGTCTAAAGAAGTAGCCTACATTATGTCACGAAACGTTAAAAATACAATTATTTACTACATTATTACGTATATTGATAATATTCATATTGACAAAGGGTGTATAACTGAATTTCCAACGGCTAGAAAACATTGATAAATATTCAGTGATAATCTATTAAATTATTTATATAAGAACTCTCGTCTAAATTAGAGCGAATAGTTTCACAGTAATTGAGTACCTATTTATATTCTATAATTTTGATGTTTGATTATAATTCCTTGAAAAAGCTTGAACCAGATTGCTTGGTGAAACGTTGTATTTACTACAAATTCATTCGTTGAGATTTTACAAATATATATTATTCCTATATAATGTATTAAATTATTATTTACAAATTATATCGGAAACGTTGACAGTAAAATATAATTCCACCATTTACTATTATTATTATTATTATTAAGACTGCAATTAAAATGAATCGTTTGTACAAAGAATCAAGAAAATTAGCTAGACGAGGTCGTAATGAAAAGAAACAAAGTTTTAAATTTTATCGAAAACATTCTAGTAAATTTAAAAATAAACTAAAGTCAACAAGAGAGACAGAAGAGGAAGAAAACGATGAACAACCACAACCACAACAAGAACGAGATTTAGAACAAAGACAGAAGGATAAAGTATTACATGATCAAAATAATGAAACAATTTCATTAGAAACGAAACTAACAAATCAATCATCAGTGTTATCCCCTTTTCTACCAGTTATTCATTCAAATGAAATTGTATCATTAACATCTAATCGGAATACTACAGAAAGTATTATAAAAGACATAGAATTTAAACAAGGTCAGACCAATACTGAATTGATTAAAGTAAGTTCATATTATGCATTAAATTTATTAAAATAAAATTTGTTGCATTTATTTTATTGATTTTGTGAAACATGACAACAAGCGGGAGGTAAGGAACTAGTGTGAGAAGTTACTAAGCATTTATATAAAATATATTGTATAGCCTCCAATCATCTATTTGCATCTTTCGATATGTTCTACCATCTGAATTGTTTTCTCATCTAGTTTCCAAGTGTTCTGCCAACGTCGTGTTTTCAATACACTGAAATTCACCACTCGATCTGATAATCGTATCAAATTAGACGTCACGTTCTACTACACACTACTTACAAACAATCTTGTGACTAGCGCCCATTACAATTTTTATATATAAGATAGACGGAGTAAGAATTTTTTGTTGTTATCCTCATTAGAATGATTGTTTATAACAGATTTTGAAATTTATTCTATTTTGTTTTATTGCTACAAGAATTGGAAGTTGTTTTTATAGGTTTGAAAAGACGAATAACAATATGGGGGTTTTGTGGAAACTGTTGAATTTTCATAATATATTTCACGGATTGATTTTAGATGGAAAAGTCATAGAAAACAAGAATATATTTTTCAGCTCTTTCATCTTAACTTCAAACTACACAATAGTACACATCAGCGGCCCACTGTCACGAGGGGAGTTAATCATATCGAATGTGAGGCTTTGGTAGATGGTTGTACAATTTAGTGAATTGATTGGAGCTAATAATGTAAACTAATGGGTGCCGCCTCAGTAGTCTAGAGGTTACGGGCTTGCTGTTACATTTAAAGGCTATATATTTGAGCATCGGTGAAGTTATGAAGGTACAGTGCTGTGGAGTAGTATACTACGACGAAATAGCCATCTAATGCTCCTTAGCTTTCATTGGTTGTCCAAGTAAGATCAGTTCATTATGGTAACTGTAAAAAAAACAAGAGACTTATTTGCCATGGGAGAAAAACTATTTCATCAAGTTGAAAATATCAATCGAAACTGTTTACCAGTCAATAACATACAGTTAAAAAAAACAACGTTTCAAGGTATTTTTTTTCTAAAATTTTAGTTCACAGTATATTTGTATTAGAATTCAAGAGAGAATTTAAAAATAACACCCTCTTTAGGTCTTCATTGTAATATAAAAAGTTGATAAAAATAAGAAACTTTTTTTAAACATTTAGTGAATAGACTCATTTATTACACAAAAAATATGATAGCATTATATACATGGAGTGTACATTAGTTTAAATATGAGTTAACCTGCTAATTCTTATGTACTATTAATTTTTTTGTATATAGTTGAAATCATGAGTCAATTGAAGCTAAACCACCATGGAAAACCTGGAAGTACTGGACGGTCGTTTCGTCCTATTGTGAGACTCCTCAGCAGTTCGCATCCACGATCCCACCTCGCGAGATTCGAACACAGGACCTATTAGTCTTGCGTGCGAGCACTTAACCGATAGACCACTGAGCTGGCATTCAACGATGTTAATGTCTAACTTCGACCAATCCACGAAGTTAAGCAACCATTTGACTAATATCTTCAGTGAGTTACTATCTCTCAACAGACCTGGTTGAACTCCACTAGTTACTTCTTCTCACTAGAACTCCAGGAAATACCTCATGATTTCAAATATATATAAAAAATTATTAAAAATCTCCACAAACAACGTACTATTAAATTGTTAAAAAAAAAGAAAATCAATTAACTAAATAATGTAACATGTAATTTGATCCTTTTCTCTAATAGGATTATAATCAATTAACTTTAAAAAAAGATTGTTACAAACTACATTGTCTACATAGTTTTCAAACTTTTTTTAAATATTTTTAATAACTTAATTTCATAATTGTGTACTACTACTAATAATAGTGGTTAGTAACTGAATTACCTTAGTAACCAGGTTTCGAATCATTACGATCTTAACATTTTCTTTTCGATCAATAAACAATATATATATATATGTTCCTTAAAAGTTGCAAATGAATTTTTCTGTTAATATGAAATAAATATTTTATTTAAATCAGTGTAATCATCATATGTAGAATAATATTATAAATCTTAATAATATAAAGATACAATAAAAAGAATGTTAGTTATCTGTTGTATCAATTGAGTGTGTTCGTTCTTGCCCAGTTGATATATATGACGTTATGAGACCGCCAATTGGAGAGCAGTGTTTTATCAATCGAATCCAATGACACACAAAGCCGTATGAGCAGTCTTTATTACTTATCAGTCCCGCTTTCTACCTAGCCCAGCCAGTTAAGTCCAAAACACCAATAACAGCCTCTGCAACATGAATCATTATTCTCAAACACGCTGGGTTTATATACCAAACAAACTGACCACATCGAACCATAAAATAGGAAATAACATTTGTACAAGATTTGTCCAAATGTAGCTGTGAACAGGGGGAACAGTAATAAATGGACTAGGGATAACTGAAGAATGATGATAATAGTCTATGGGTCAAAATAAAGCTCATAATAAAGGGAACATGAATATGAATAGTTAAGTTACTTAGCAATTATACAACAGGAAATATACATATCATATTGGTCCATAAATAGTCCTCAAACTTACCATTCATAATTCTGCACGGGATACAACATTATCAGAAAGATATGAAGTAATCTACTGAAATTATAGTTTTCATGAATGAATTTAAGATATATAGTGATGAAAGTAAACTAATGACTGGTCACTGAGTATGGACAAACGACTATGGGCTACGGACTATTAAAGATATGATTTCCTATCCTTTCATTGATTTCTAACCTGGACTCACTGATAGTAAATGTTTGTAATTGTATGGAATAAAGTATTGTCTAGTCTATACTCTGGTTCTCTATTCTGGGTCGTGAATCCTGGTTCTGATATAACGTGACTAGTCCCATCATCGTATTAACATATTATCTTAGTATACCTAGAGTGAGAAGACTAATTTAAACCACCTGTTATATCCATTTTTTATTAATATCACCTCTAATACTTATTTGAAATCAATGTACTACTTAATTAAAATTCTCTAAGTAATATTACAACTGATTTATTAGTTTCTGGAAAATTTGTGGTTACAGATTTCAAATAAAATCTCTCGAAAATTGAATAATCTAAAGTATCATTTTGAAATTTTTAAATAATATAACGAAAATCAAATTAAATGTCGTAAAAATAACATTTTTAGTAATTGATTATCAACATGACGCCAAATGATTGTATAACTACCCGGTTAATGTCTATTATAATTACTATCGGTTGGGATATTTTTGATAAACACGTTCGGTATTTCTTCACCTAAACGAATTTCGTAGCTGTTTTACCCTTAGATAGAAACAGATTCCGTGTTAAACAGAACGCTGGACAATCAATAGTACCAAAGTACAAATTAGTCTTAGTTGGGCAACAACTGAAAATTTGAAATCGCTGGGCGGCCGTTTCATCTTATTATAGAACTCCACCAGCAGTCCGTATTTACATTCTCGCATCTAGTAGTCGAACCCAGGACCCTAGGTCTCGCTCGCGAACTTTTCAGCTTTCCATTACTGAGGCATAACTAAGATTAGTTCGTAATCATAAACTTTGAAAATCCCACAATCTCCACAAGTCTCTCCCTATAATAATGAATAGTTCAATTGAATTACATCTCAGGTGGTCACTGTCAAACAACAACACCGATCAATCAATCAACTTATTCAACAATACTGTGAAACGAGATCAAGGGATATACAGGAAATTTGCCGAACTCTTTCTAATGGGTAGATTGGGATGAGATTGACTTTGGATGCAAGAAAAATCAAAACAAAACACAGTTCCAACACTTTGACAAATTATTGATACATTTCATATTTGTGTTTTGTAACTGTAAAATGCGATCTGTGAAAGTCAAGAACTTCAGTTGTTAGTGAATTGCATAGAAATACCCGTAATTTTTAAATTTATTGTGGTAATTTTGATTGGAAACACCGGTCAAACTTGAGGTCTATTAATCCAATAATATTCACGGTAGTTGGTGTTCAATCATCAAAAGTTAATCAAAGGTCATTCATCAACCAAAGAGAAGCTACATGATGGTCTGATACCTATTAACATTTCTCAATCTTATTTTACTAAATTCACTAGTTCTCTCGTATTATAGGCTTTCTGAAATATATGTTAATAGTAGGCCTACATAGTAATTGATTCAACAATGTTCTCTATTAAGTTCAATAGAAATTCTACTAAACTTCTTTGTTCCCGATTAAATACTTTCATCAGTTCCAATTTCTTTACAGTTTTCGCGAGTTGTGTAACGTGTTCTGTTTTGTACTCTCACCTAAACTCGCTCAAGGTCATCCAAAAATCAAATGTATTTGACTTAATTAGACGAAAACCTCCACTCCGTAATTGTTCTCATTCTGTGTTTTTTTAAAATATTTTCATTATCATTTTAAGCCAAATATTTCATCATGGCTTGAAACAATAAATGAAGGGGAAGACAATCCTAATGACCAAGAAGCACCGAAACCTTCAAAGCTTGACACTCCACGCTCTATACAACATCTTTTACAAAGCAAGTACTCAATTTGTGAAAAAAACCAGACTCGTCAAAGTATCGCTTATTCAATTATCAGACATAAAGAAAAGCAGCTGTGTAATTTGAAAGCAGCATTAAGTGAAGCACCAATAGCGTATCTATGGAGAGATAATGCAAATAAAAGCACAACAAAATTGAAAACAAAATTAATTTGTTCAAAATATAAGGATATCAATTTACAAGCAAAACGTTGTCTTCCTGGTTCTATTGGCGGTTTATCAAATTATTTTCTGGAAGTTATTGCTTTACCTAAACCTGCATTGATTCGTTTCCCACCACCGACTAGTATGCATCAATATACACGTAGAAAAATATTAGCAGCAGAAAAACAGCAAATGCAACAAAATTTAAATAAATTAAGTCATTTAACTGAAGAAATGAGAAGAGCTTTAGGTAATTTAAACCTTTTTGTATATCGTTACTTTCAGTTTAATTAAGGACAGTTTTGTTCCGTCTTCAGCCGAATTCAGTTTTAACTAACTAGTACAACTGATAAGTCTGTGCATATTCATCATCTAAACACCATTGATTATTTCATTGAAATCACGAACCCATCTAAGTTAGATAACCATTGAGAATATGGAAGTACTGGATGGCCGTTTCGCCATAGTATAGAAATCCTCGGCAGTGTAACTCCACATCCCCGCATCTGGTAATAGAATTCAGGATCCTCGGTCTCGTGCTCAGACGTTTAAACTCTAAACCACTGAGTCGGCATACCACGATGTTAATTTTTAACTCCACTCAATCCACAGTTGCTATTAATAAATAGAAACTATATTTTTTTCATATTTATCTGCACATACTTGGGTTATTCTACAATAACCAGACTTTTGAGCTGAGTTCGATACTGATTAGCAGTGGAATGCGCGTTACGTCCTATTTGTGACTATTTCCGGTGTGGAAATTTGCAAAGAAGTGTAGTTACATCCAAAACGCTGACCGTCATCAGATTGTCTCAGGAGTAAAGTCTGGATTACAGAATTAATATTATTTTATAAATCATTAAAAAGACATAGATTTTAGTTAAAACTTGACAGTTTGGAATGTCAGCGTGAAGTTTCGCGTATAATGGATATCAAATCAAATAATGTACACCGACTAAATACAATAATCTATTTGAAGATTGGTATTCGTTATTAATATTACAGGAATAACGAGTAGCTGTTATACTATGGTATGTTATCAACGTACAGTTTCATGTAGAGTACTCATGATATTTATCAATTATACATCAATGATGAATTTTTAGGAAAAACATTCATGAAACCTATAAGTATTTATCTATTCATCATCATGATTTTAGAAATTCTTGTATTACAAGTCAACATCATACGGAAAATTGAAGTTAATGAAGTTATTTTTATTCTACATCTTCAAGATTTTATTTATTTATGGATATTTGTTGAAAAAGTATTCAGGACTGTCAATCGTTTACCTGATGAGTACAGATTCTGGATCTGTAACCTCCTTCCGATTATGATTAATCATTTAACTTTAAATATATAAACTGTAATTTAAAATTATATGAATTTGTAACTAGATTTACAAATCGGTCAGAAAAATTTTATTTAAGAAAGGGGGTTTGTGGAGATTTTAGTAATTTTATGTAGTTGAAATCATGAGTCGATTGAAGCTAGACCACCATGAAAAACCTGGAAGCATTGGATGGCTGTTTCGTCCTATTATGGGACTCCTCAGCAGTGCGCATCCACCATCCAGTGCTTCCAGGTTTTCCATGGTGGTCTAGCTTCAATCAACTCATGATTTCAACTATATAAAATTACTAAAATATCCACTAAAATCAATTCTGATAATGATCATATGCTCACTAGTGACTGGCTCCGTCAGGTATTTTTCCTGGAGTTCTACTGAGAAGCAGTAACCAGTGGAGTTCAACCAGGTCTGTTGGGAGATAGGAATCACACTGAAGAAATGGTTGCTCAACTTCGTAGATTGGTTGAAGTCAGACATTAACACCGTTGAATGCCAGCTCAGTGGTCTATCGATTAAGTGCTCGCACGCGAGACTGATAGGTCCTGTGTTTGAATCTCGCGAGGTGGGATCGTGGATGCGCACTGCTGAGGAGACTCACAATGGGACGAGACGGCCGTCCAGTGCTTCCAGGTTTTCTATGGTGGTCTAGCTTCAATTGACCCATGATTCCAACTACATAAAAATTTTAATTGCACAAAGAATTAATCAGTTTGATATTAATACTATTCAATAAGCAAATAATTTAAATAATGTCAGTAATTTTGACATCTTATTAACCATAACAAGATTTAAACGTTCAGGATAAGTAAAGAATTCAAATTTCCCATTTGATTTACCATCTAATGAGCATTCTATTTCGATGTTTAATGTTCACTAGAGTTTTTAAAAAATAACCAATAACTGATTGTTACATATAGATGATCCAATGACTGTTTATAAACTTTAAAATGAAACGGAATAAAAATTTAATTAAGATTTTTTTAAAATTGAAAGTTGATTTTAATTGAAAATAATTGAGACGAAATCATAATATATGAATTATTTTTTTTTTATTGATTAATAATCCGGCTAAATTAAATACCGAAGTAAATTCAATTTTTTTTCCCGCCAACAGATAAAACATCAAACAATTCATATTAAATTGACATAGTTAATAGGTTTAAAACAAATTGCTTTATATGTATAAACTAAAAATAATTCAAATCTAATGAGGCCTCTCCAGTTGATGAGATATTCACTGATGAATACAATATTCCTATTAGATAGAATAAATAACAAACACTATTTGATTTCTTCGTTTTATATATCATTTTTACATTACAGAAGGTCAAAAATTGATGGCTGCATTAAAATTCCTACTGGCTTCTACAAGCAACGAGAAAAAATGAAGATATTAAATTTCAATGAACATGAAATTAACAAGGATTAGTGATCTTTTATCTTTGGAATAATAATTCATGACGTATAGGTGTTTGTGTACATGGGTAATAACACATTTTTAAAAGTGTTCTGGTGGTTTGTCTCTCTCTCTCTCTATATATATATATATATCGTTGTGACGTTATGGACGACCCAATCAGAAGCGGTGGAGGGATTTCAAGGTCACGGCGCCAATCTCAGAACCTGATGCTCATGTGAGATCGGTTAACAGAGGATTTTAGAGAAGACTTGACGCTTAGGCGGCTACAACAAATAAGACTGCTAAGAAGTTCCTGTATTTGCGGTAATTAAATGATGGAATATATGTTGAAGGAAGACGTTTGCTAGAATAGGAACCTTTTTCGCTCGATCCAGATTGAGACTAAGGCATATTATAACAATTGCCGCGAACTGTATAATAAAAGCACCAGTAACATTGGCTGCAATAATGGCAGATTTCACTGAGGCTTCGGCTGCTCAGTGGTATGAGTATTGTAGGGACATATCCATGATAAAAATGATAAACTTACACAACCGGATTACACACAAATAATAATGAAGCCATGTGGTCAAGGCCGAGAGGGTTTTTGTGACCTTATCATGGCTTCAGAGACCAACTATTATGGAGCCATATGGATGAGTTTCTCTACCTTGTGCATTACGATTTTTGAACCTTTTCTAACCTTGACAAGTTTTTGGACCACATAAAAGAAGTGGATCCACTTTAATTATTTGGTTTTGTATAATATATTTTTACTCGATGCTGACTGTTTACTGATTGGTTAACATTTCTCAAGGCCACTTAAGATTCGTTCAAAGGTCGTCCATAAATTATAGTCTCGCCGTTCATTTGAGGTAAACAATCCATTCTTTTCTCAATGTGCAACACTCAGACACTGAACAAATGGAAAATTAGTCTTATGCGCTGGATACAATACACATATTGAATATACAAAATGTTGTGGACAACCTAGATCGATTAAACAGTTGGAGATGAGAACAATGCAATCATGAAATTCCATTGTTACTTTTTTACTATTGAAGTTCTATTAATAAAACAAACAGTAAAAGATTTATTTGGACGTCAGAAGTAAATAGATAGAATGTATCAATGTATAAACCTACAGGTGTTCACATGATTAATACAAGTCCGTTCATAAAATACAATGGATGGTATTCAATCCCTGAGTTGATACATTTAATGGAATTTAACAGGCTGAGATTGGATTCATTTAGGTATGTTTATTAGTTAGTCTTAGAATCTGTGATTAAATTTTCCTCGAAATGTTAACATATAAAAACAGTACGTTCTATAAATCTGTGAGATATATAACCTAAGTGTAAAAAAGTATTTCATGACAGATTTCATCATTAACTGAAAATAAAACCCCCGTAAACTAAAAAAAAACTGAACTGTTGTTTCGCTCTAATAGGGGCTTTCCTTAGTAGCGCACAATCAGATACCTGTACTACATTACAGCTCATAGTCTATAAGTACCTTGGTCAAAACAATGATAACGTTGAGCTACGTAATCATACCCCAGTGGTTGATATTTTCAATTAACTTGGGACAGATTACCATCATCATTCCGTTGAGTTAACTGACCTGATGCAATACCTTTCTAGGCTACTGTTTCCGGTTATCCGTTGACAATCGTGATACATTTCCAACTCAGTAGTGAAAGAGAATTTTGTATTTTCTGTACCATTTAAAGGTAGTGGATTCGTGAATAGACATTACTGAGAAGTTCTACCTAAACTATGACAAAAGATTAGTATCTTCTTGTTTTCAATCATTCCGTTCTATCATAAGTCAGTCCATGATGAAACTTTATCTACAAAAGGATTATATCTACATAAACCACCGATTTTTTAAGAATATTTTAGTTTACACTAATATTTTTAAGTGGAAAAAACAGAGATATGTGGATTGTATTAGAAAGCAATTAACATAGCGGCGACAAGTGTGTCAGAAGTTCATATATAGGCATGTGCATTTGTGAACATTTGGAGCCAAAACAAGTCCTTACTCACTATTCAGCCAATTATTTTCTGTTTACGTATCTAATATGTCAGTCTAAATCTCCAGTTACGGGGAAGAGTTGGTGGTAGTTTGTTGAAGTTATTGAAATAGCATTCAGTCTGTAATTTGTCAGTCCATTGACAAAGCGTAAAAATATCGTTATCAAAAACATTCTGTGATTTTTTTCATTTTGAAAAATGCTACATAGGAAAGTTTCATCAGACGACTATGATAACTCTAAAATCATCTACGTGAGAACTACTCATAGTTCCAAATATGTCATCAAAAGTAGTCATTCCTTCAAATTTTTGATGCGAAGAAAGCTGCATTTATATACCAAATTAAACAAGCGGTCTTCAATAAGATCAACAACAGAAGTGCTAGGTGTTTATAATTAAGATATTTACCAATGAAAAACTAACGGCAAGCAAAGATCACCACTATCCACATATCTATTGGCCTACACTATATATCAGTCTCATAGATCGACGGTGAAAAACTCACAAACAAAATAATCAGTATAAGATTTTTGACTTGATTACAGTTTATATTATGGACTGGCTTTAACCGGACAATCATTGGAAACTTGAAAACAATGTAAAGCTGTTCCATTACAGAGTGAAACTACTCCTAAACTGTGGACAACCACGACCCTGCCAGGGATCGAACCAAAGATATTCAGGTCTTGTCGCAATCGTTTAATTGGATAGAACCCGAGACCTCAACAAGTGCGTTGACTTTAGATCAATCTCTATATTGATGGTCAGTAGTCTAAATTTACGGCTTCAGTCGATCCTCGAAACTGTATTCACCGTTTATTTAATATTCAACACTTGAATAAAAATTTAGACAATAATAGTCAACATGGATGGACTACACCAGTCACAGCCTCTTACTAAGATTTAAGAAATTACTGTTTGAAATTGGTCACTAGTGAGAATAATTAGTATTTAGTAATTTCGAAGAATGGGGCAGAAAATGGTCAGTAACAGCCAACGAAGAATCGGCTCATAAAAAGTAAATTCTACTGTTTGAATTGTCACTATTTAATCACTATCTCACTTGTTGGAGAGTGGGTTGAGTAATTCTAACTTCATAAAACTAAGTCGTCTGAACAATGAACAACACAATACTCACAATAAAAATGTGAGATTTTAATTATCCAATAAGTCAATTTTTACAGGAACACAACAATTATACACATATAAGAAGAATAATCACTACTAATACTACTAATATCACATCAAATAGTATAAGCGATTGCAAAAAAAACAAGTAAAATTACCAAAAAAAAAACAAATGAAACAATGTACTGTAGATGAGAGTGCACTCCCAATGTAACTGCCCACGTGTCCTTCTTCTTCTCCTCGACACACTTTCACTTTTGAAGCAAACAACACCCGTAATCATAATTATAACATGTTAAATAAAAATTAAGCCAATACAAAGAAAGTATTACCACATTACTCAGTACAACGATCTGGAAGTACAACAAATACACAGGAACAAAAGGGAAGACAATGATATTATTATTTATGCATAAGTATGCAATATAACAATTAGAGAGGACAATAATACGGAAATAAAGATTCGATGTTGTTCTTGTAAACAGAAAAAATGTATAGCACTGTATAAAGAACAACAACAGTTTATAAACTACTATAAATGATGGAGAGAACTGATGTGTGGAGTGTTGGTGGTGGTCGGGAGGGAGGAAAGCGAAGGTATCAGAATAAATTGCTAGATGATAGTTTTTCATCAGAAGAGAGATTTTGTAATTTAAAAAATGTTAACAGTCATTACTTTTTCTAATAGTATAAATGAAATCATTTACCCGATGAGATCATTTAATTATAAATGGGAGAAATATACATGTACATAGTACAATAGATTAAACTAAGAAGTCATAAAATTCGTGTTCAACAGAATGAATATCATTAATGGCTACTTTATGTATGTGTTAGGTTAGATAAAGGCATGAAAACAATAAAACAAAATAATCCTCAGTATTCTAACCTAAAGGGAAGCACATGAAAACATCACTATAATTAACAGAAAATTACTAATGATATATATATATATATATATATATATATATATATATATATCGGTAATAAAATGAGATGTGACCGATAGACATATGATTAATTAAAAAGAGTATGGAAGTGTTGCATGGTATGATAAAATGTATATATGTATAAATAAAAGACTGAATGTGCATACAGAAGAAAAAGATAGAGACAATGTACACAACAAATTCCCATCAGAGGAAAGAAAAAGGTATAAAGGTTATAGAATCATAAAGTACAGAAAGATACTGCCTCACATTTTCATGGAGGAACACGATGGATCACACATACACAATGAAAGAACAACATGGAGTAAAAGTGTGTGGAAATGCGAAACACAAACAAACAAACAAGCAAAAGAAATAACCTCACGTTTATCATTTCTTTTGCATATGGGAAAAACCTATGTATTCTTCCTCAGAATATATACATACATATTTATAGTAGTTTGAATGTCATAGTGTATGTCTGTTTAAAATGCATACAGACATTGATATTCATTAGCAGTATAATGAGAATTTTTTAACCGTCTGCTTTTGGGGGAGTGTACCAACCACTTTCTTCGTGAATCTGAACTAGACCTCGATAGGAGAGCTGAGCTCGGCGAAGTGAATATTGATCCTATTAAAAAAGCAGAGTTGATTTGACTGTAAAATGAAGATAGACTATTGCTATAGTAATTTTGAAATTTTAATTCTAAACTTACAGTATTGAACTGCACAACCTGTGTTAGGATTTTCCATCCCTTGTATAGAGATATACCTATATGTTGATCAGTAGTGGAATACAGAATATGATATTTCTTTTTCTTAACGAACTCATCGCTTAACTGTATTAGGATTTGAGCATCCCCCATGAAAACTTGGAACAACACGGGGAAATACTATGATAATTCAAGATATCTATCCGTGTCGAGCCTAAATGGTAACGCAGGTTGTTCACTCTGCTCTTGCATTTTGCCTAACCTAACTTAGTCCAATATATAAATGATATTGGTTTGAGTTTCAGTGAATGCTTTATTACATATAAAAGTCAAACAAAACCAGTACACTGAGTTTGACTGACAGCCGATACTAATCAATGATGTCATAAGATAAAAGCATTTTCTGAGGATCAATAATTAAGCGCAGATTTAACAAGGGATATATATATATGTATATATATATATATCAGTTGATAATTAGTCTACTGAAAGCAAACATATGTCGCTGATCACTACATAATAAGTATCATTATTATTTTTCAATTATCACTTTTGGCCTATTACAAATTATCGTATGACGACCACATCTTAAGTAATTTCAAGTGATTGGTAAAAGCCAAATAAGTAGGGTTTTCCAACTCCCCTAGGTGGACCCTCCGTGTCCACCAACCCGGTTAAAGCACCGGATATTCGCTTTTCGTCCTCTCACTTTCGTAAACAACACCCCCGCCACGAGAAGGCAGTGAGTAGAACTTCCCTGGCAGAGGCTATATATTCGCTGGCCATGTGAGAGCATTTCGAGAGGGAGAGTGGACTCTCCCCACTCTCGGCCGTACCAGGGCATTTGGGGGCAAGATGTTAATTAACGATGGATAGGCTTTATACCTTATCAACATCTTTAGCAAACAGAAGTGTATCAACTGCAAGTCATAAAGTCGATGACCATCAAGGAGACTAGTTCCTGAAAGGTTAGATGAAAAAATTGTTATTTTTAAGAGCCTTCATTAGGTTGTTTTATTCGGGATGCAATTCAATGATAAACATTGAGACAAGATATCGCTGTCGATTTAATCAATACATTTAGGGTCATATATGAAGAATCGTTGATTTTTCCTGATGTTTTTGAGCTTCAGTATTTTACGAACAATATATATCAAAAAACTTTTTTCTGTGATTGTCGCAAAGGAATCTCTGACCTATCTCATAAATCAGAGCGATTAGTGGTCTCAAATAGTTTGACAGAATAACATCCACCTTCCAAACTTTAGAAAATATCCGTTAAAACTGAGTTTGCTCGCCCTCTCAAAATGAACTCACATGGCCACGCGTATACAGCCAATACCAGGGAAGTTTTATTCATTACCTTTAAAAGGCGGAGGTGTTGTTTACAAGATTGAGAGGATGAGAAGTGAATGTCCGGTGCTTTAAACAGGGTGGTGGATATAGAGGATCCACCTAGGGGAGTTGGAAAACCCTGATTCCAAACCAATGGTGCACATGGGCTCCAGTAGCCTGAGAGAACAAATGGCGTATAAACCTATTGTTGGTCACCGGCTACCATGGGACTGCATCTCCTAACGTTGCTCCACTACCATGTGGATTAGACCCCTAGGTCAAATGCTCGAGGAGTAGCCCCCTAGGAAAACCACGTGCTTCGGTTTGGGTTCCACGGCAGTGCCCCAGCCTACACACAAACTCAGTGATTTTTGTGGCATAAATATATTCTAGTATCTCTTCGTACCAATGTTTATGTGTTTAAATATAAAAATAAATAAAGAACAATAAGAAAAAGCAAAACAGTAAAAAAAAACCTACATCTGTTGCGCTAAAATTTATTCGTGCACGACCTTTCACTAAAGTTGCAGCTATTTGCATAATAGATGATTCGATATCATAAGCGCTTGACCAACCTTGTTTAGTAAATAATTCCATGCAAATTGCTCCACCGGCTAAAACATAACCATTTTCAATTACTGGATAAAGAATACGGACAAATGGTGGCTCAAAAGGATATGTTTCCTATTTAAAATAAAAATTACTACAATTAGAATGAAGAATGTGATACAAAATATAATCTAGTATATTTTCATAAAGGATATGAAGAAAGTTGATCGATGTTTTCTCACAAAGTACTAAGTGTGATAATAAACAGAGACTAAGCAGAGATTGGAAATCATGGACCGACCTAAGTTATACTGCTGCGGAGCCCCATATTATGACGAAACGGCCGCCCGGTGCTTTTAGATTTTTAATGGTGTTTTAACTTAGATTGGTTCATGATTTCAATCAAATTCAACAATCTTAACAATCCCTCAGCGACAAACATTGGAGAGTCATAATTAGTTGGCTATAGTTTAGAAATTAAAACAATATTAAAATCGAGAGAATATGTTTTGAAAATACTTAAAAAGACAAATGTATCACTCGATATTCGTAGTACAAAATGATGTATGTAAGAAAGAAGAAAGAACAGGAATTCTTTGTGTCACTTGAGAACATACAAGTTGTAGTAATAACTGTTTACAAGAGTCAACAGCCACCGTGAAGGTATACCTACCTATCTAATGGAAACAAATTATTTCGGCCTTACATGTAAATCTCAGTAAATAAACGTAATGCATAGAACTTGTTACTTCGTATGAACGATAAGATTGATTCATCTAAGAGGTTACATGTTGGTGAGCGGCCTATGCTCCACCACGAGGGGTAACAGGCGTAAGTAGGTACGTTGATACAGCATTATTTAATCTGTTTCTAGAATAAAAAACAGACCACTGAAATCTAAGGGGCTGAAGACACTACAGAGGCTTACATATTCCTAAACTTAGGACCATTTTGCAATCCGAGGAAGATTTTTTAAAAAGTTTCCTACTACAGACATATCTTATATCAAAGAGAAAAGCTATTGAATTATGTGTGGTTTCAGAAAGAAAGTAAACATTTGATAGGAAGTGAAATGCATGAATACAGTATGAGATGTGACCAATGCTAAACAATGGCACTTCAGTGGTATTACGTGAATATATATATATAAATAATACATGACAAAACACAGTAAAATGTATTTTGCATGAATAAGAGATCTACTATGCAGTTATTCATGCCAAGAGTAATATTGAATGCTTCTAGAGGTGCCTAGGCAACTGACAATTCCTGGCTGCCTACATGCTGAAATAATATTACTTCGTTATAAAACTGAGAGGTGAGAATAATATTAGTGATTTCATTGACCCGGGAGAAATACAGAAGCCATAAATGGATAAGTGCTGATCACCTGGCCCCCAAATGCCCTGGTACGGCCGAGAGTGGGGAGAGTCCGCTCTCCCTCTCGAAATGCTCTCACATGGCCAGCGAATATATAGCCTCTGCCTGGGAAGTCCTACTCACTGCCTTCTCACACCAGGGGTGTTGTTTACGAAATTGAGAGGACGAAAAGTGAATGTCCGGTGCTTTAAACAGGGTGGTGGATATAGAGGATCCACCTAGGGGAGTTGGAAAACCCTGATTCCAAACCAATGGTGCACATGGGCTCCAGTAGCCTGAGAGAACAAATGGCGTATAAACCTATTGTTGGTCACCGGCTACCATGGGACTGCATCTCCTTACGATGCTCCATTGCCTTGTGGGTCAGACCTTCAGGTCAAAGGCTCGTGGTGTGGCTGCCTAAGAAGACCACCTGCTTCGGTTTGGGCACCCGGGCAGTATCACAGCCCACACACAAATGACATGAAATGACGCACTACACTAACTACAGTGCTCCCGTTCCTAATAGAAGAAAGACAATTTACATTATTATTATTATTACTATTATTTACTACGTCGCTTTTTCACACCCTTTATTCCCAAAATGTGTATCCTTTCTTTCCAACTTATGCAGTAGCTCGCCCATGGTGGAAAATCTGTCCTATCTAAACGATCTCTAGTCACTGTCTGGTTGAAAGTGAATGCTTCCACCGATTACGAATACTGAAGCAGTCTTTCTGAAACCACGTACGCCGTTCAAGCTTGCTTCCTTCAACGTTCGCACACTAATGCAGATCGGACAACAGATGGGGTTGGCTATGTCTTAATGTTGATGTTTGTTGTCTATCCGAGACCCGTATTCAAGACTCTAGTGAAGTAATACAAATTCGCTCTCCATCTGTCGCTTCGAAAAGCTTATTTCACGTGCGCTTATCCGGGGACTCTGTGGCATCTTCGTCTGGTCTTGCTGGCGTTGGTGTTGCACTAAGCGCTAGGGCTGAGGCAGCACTAATCGATTGGATCCCCATTAACAGTCGGTTATGTGCTGTTAGATTAGAAAGTTCTATCAAAGTGAGAAGAAACCGGCGTGAGAAACGGTGTCTTTTCGTCATCTCCGCCTATGCCCCGACAAATTGCAGCCCGGATGCAATCAAGGATGAATTCTCCCACCAATTAACTGTTCTTCTCCAGAAAGCGCGTTCGACAGATATTGTAGTATTAGCCGGAGACTTGAATGCACAGGTCGGGCGTCTAGGCACAGAAGAGAGTCGTTTAGGTGGCCGATGGGGACTTGTTGGTCGCAGGACAGATAACGGGGACCGTTTGCTGTAACTGTGTACAGACGACAACCTGTTTCTGGCTAGCACTAACTTCCGGCACAGTCATCGCCAGTGTGCCACCTGGCGTCCTCCCTCTGCATCCCAAGCCTGGACTCAGTTTGATCACATCGCGATCAGCTACCGCTGGCGTGGTTGTGTACAAGACTGCCGCTCCTTTTGGAGTACCTATCTGGAGTCTGATCATGCCCTGGTCTGCGCCAATCTCACCTTACTTTTCATTGGCCGAAGGATTGACCACCACCAACGGATCGATGTTAGTAAACTGGCTGCAACTTCTGTTGCAAGTAAGTATCGAGCCGAGCTAGCTTCTAGGCTAGCTACCATCCCACCGAAAAGTATAGATGAGCATTGGTTGCATCTTCACGACGCCATGAAAATGGCGAGTAAAGCCGCTTGCGGCTTCGCGAAACGTCCCGCTTACAAGCACTGGGTTTCTTCTGGCTCCTTACAACTGATGGAAGCCCGTCCGTCTACTCCGGGTGACCGTGAGTTTGACCGCAACCGAAGGCTGTTACGTAGTGAAATCGGGCAAAGCTTGCGTAAGGACCGAAAAGCCTGGTGGTCGGAGCGTGCTAATGAGATGGAAGCAGCAGCTGCATCTCGTAACTGCCGGAAGCTATTCCAACTCATCCGAGCCACTGGCAGCAAGAAGTCTGGTGTGAGTGAAACAATCTACGAGGATGACGGGATGCCAATCACTAACATCTCTCGACGTCTTGGACGATGGGCGGAATTTTTCGAAGGGCAGTTCAACTGGCCTGCTGCTCCGACAACATCAACCAGTTTGTCCTGCCCCCCATGGCCGGTGACGACTGATCCACCAAACGAGGCGGAAGTCTGCAAGGAACTCCAACTCTTGAAACGCTACAAATCACCGGGCCCAGATGACTTACTTCCGGCACTTTTTAAAGATGGTGGTGACTTTCTGGCTAAGGAAATGACTGTGTTGTTTGGAAAGGTTTGGGAGCAAGAAAGTGTTCCAACATCATGGAATGAGTCAATAGTCGTCCCTATCTTTAAAAAGGGTTCACGTTGTTCCTGTAACAACTATCGGGGGATAAGTCTACTTCCGATTGCGTCCAAACTATTGGCTTCTATCATTCTTCGTAGGTTGTTTAAAACCCGAGAACGATTGACTCGCGAGGAGCAGGCTTGTTTTCGTTCTGGTCGAGGATGCATTGATCACATCTTCACCCTCCGCCAAATGTTAGAACACCGTCATATTTATCGCAGGCCAACAATCGTAGTGTTTCTTGATATCAGGGCTGCCTTCGATTCGTTGGACAGGACTGTTCTCTGGGATTGTCTATTGAAGAAGGGTGTGTCTGAGAAGTTCATTAACATCTTAAAGGCCCTGTATACGAACACCTCAGGCAGAGTGAGGGCATACAACCACCTTTCTCCCTTGTTCCATTCGAGCAGTGGGGTTAGGCAGGGTTGCCCGATCTCACCATTCCTCTTCAACTTTGCCATCGATGACATCCTGGAAACAGCTCTGATGGATGTAAGTAATGGCGGTGTGGATATGTTGCCTGGAGAACGACTTCTCAACCTTGAGTATGCGGATGATATTGTGCGATAATGCCCAAGGCATGCAATCCGCACTTAATCAGTTGGCAATCAGTGTCCGCAGGTACGGCATGTGCTTTGCACCCTCCAAGTGCAAAGTACTCCTACAACACTGGCAGGATTCTCATCCTGTAGTCACCCTAGATGGTGAGCAGACTGAAGTAGTTGAGAAGTTCGTGTATCTAGGTAGCTACATAAGTGCTGGTGGTGGCGTGACTGATGAGATTGATGCACGTATAAGGAAAGCCAGAGCGGCTTATGCCAATCTGGGCCATCTTTGGCGCCTTCGTGATGTTAGTCTGGCTGTAAAAGGTCGGATCTACAACGCGTCGGTGAGAGCAGTTTTGCTCTATGCTTGAGAAACCTGGCCTCTCCGAGTTGAGGATGTTAGACGTTTCTCTGTGTTCGATCATCATTGTCTCCGAAGGATTGCTGACACACTGGCAACACCATGTTAGTAATGCAGAGGTTCGGCATCGTGTGTTCGGGCGCAGAGACGATAATTCAATTGGTGTCACCATCTTGAAACACCGACTTCGGTGGCTTGGACATGTTCTACGAATGTCGTCCCAGAGACTTCCACGTCGTGCATTATTTGCCGACTCTGGGACTGATTGGAAAAAGCGGAGAGGAGGTCACTGTATGACATGGTGTCGTGGCATGAAAGAAAGCTGCAAAGGGCTAGCTTCTGTTGGTCCTTCACGACTCCCTGGCTGGGGTCCGAGAGATTGTGCAACACAGTAGCTAGAGACGTTATCAGATATGGCTCAGAATAGAAGTCAGTGGCGATCCTGCTGTAACCTTCTTTTACTTTCTTCATAAAGAGTGGTTCTAACTTTCCTAACTGAAAGAGTCTTCTGGTTGTACATTTCAGTCCGCCTTATCTTTTCATCCCTTCTCTTCCTACTTTCATTATTTTGTGTGGCGCATATGTATCTGGTGCCCTTTTGTACCAATATGTATGTGTTTAAATAAATAAATAATAATACCTGATCACATGGCATGTTTAACAACATCGTTTCAGATAATGCCACACAATTTACTGCATCTTTGTCTGAACAACTGGTTGAAAAAGGAAGCATTATCCATATACTCTACTTGCATTGCCATTCTCAACAATCAAATGGAGGTGAAATAGTATGTTAAAACTTTTAAATTGGAGCTTATTAAGAGCTGGGAGGAGTAAATGATGAAATTTCAAGGTTCCTCCTCATGCCAGACCAAGCGACACCCGGAGGAGCCTTATGAGAATTTTTAATGGGAAGAAAGAAATGAACGGAATTCGACATTCTACTTTCAATAAAACAGCAATTAACATCCATCTTAATTGCTAAATTCATGCTCAAAACCAAGATGTATGCAAGAGACTATTGTCTTCAACACAATTGGTAGGAAATTTAGATAATCGTCAAGAGGCAGATTTTGATGAAGGCGTAACATGTCATTATACCTAAACATCTACCGGGCTCTTTACAATTTGAATAGTACAACTTCAGCCCGTGAAGCAACCATACATGTAGAAGGAAACCTATTGGATCTGATGACACAGTACTGAATGTTCAAACAAATAAATCATAAAATTTATGGCATTAATAACAACTAACTTTGAATAGAAATTGTAATCCTAAATGATCTTCTAATTTGGGATGATTTGTGAGTTCTTGAAGATCTTTATGCAATCCACTATCTTCATCAACTCTTTTGAAAAAATACATACATAATATGAAAAAAAAACTGAATTCCTCACAAAATTAAAGTATAAAGTAGTCATCAAAGCTGCTTAAGTGTATGTTCTCAACTATCATATCTTTAAAGACGAAGAAGTATACCTATAATATTTTAGTTATGAAGTAATGTGAGCTGCTATTTAAAGACATGAAGCAACTTTATACAAGAAATAATCAGACTACTGATAGTTATATTGTTCGACTGAGTAAGATCAGTTGATTTCTCAGTCAATCATAATCAACATAAGGCCTGGCATAAATGTACGTTAGTTCAATTTCCCACACCACGTCAGTACAGCGGGATGAAATCACAGTAGTATGTCAGTTATATAGAGAAAGAATAAATAGTTCGAAAAGAATAGATGAATTATAAGGAGTTTAAGAGTAATGAAATCAGGGAATGTAAAATACAAGTCATATAATGGTTGAATTGAGAACGATTTACAACCTTTGCAACACTGACGCTGTAGAAACGGTGGTATTGACTTCGGTTTATTCAAGTAACATTGTGCTATAAAAATGTTTGCTTCTCAAATGTCCAATGATCTCTCTAAGACTTTGTACAAAAATATAGAATGACAATGCATTTGCGGTGCATATTACTTATATTGACAGATATAAGCAGTATATAACACCGATTAGAAGTAGAAGGACTATCAAAAGAGGGTTGAGAAGACTGAACTGAAGAAAACAGAACGGAGTTGAGAATCATGAAGGATGTAAAGGATAATTGATGGAAGATTTGCAGATGAACTATTTAATGTATGGTTTCGCATTTTACCAAGGAACTCTGTAATTTGGCGTCAGATAATAAACTGGTTATCCTCACCAAATCTTTGTTCACTACACAGCTAAGCACAACGTTGTAAACTAATCCAATAACAAAAATCTCAAGGATAAGTCTAAAGAAAGCATGAACCAGCGGTCGTAGTTAGGATCTAAATTCCGTAGGATGTTTTAACTTTAGAAAAAGGGAAATATAATACAACACTTCAAAAAAGTTATTTATAGTAACCAAGAAGCTGTTAACGAAATCTTTAAACAGACGTTATTATTATCACTATCACTGCAATTATTTTTTATCTCTTACAGAGAACAAATAATCAAGCTAATATATCCGGGATAGTAAGATGCGATTGGCTAATGAGTGCCTGTAGACACGCCTATGTACACTCAATAGATGAGACTGTATAATACTGTAAATTAATCTCACTAATGATTTCACTCGGAATTCACTCCACGTTGACTAGCTGTAATTTGTGTCAATAAACTAGTTATGTATAATCTGTTCCTCAGTCATTGCTTGGACTTTGACTGCTGAGTAGCACATGATTTACTTTCCGGTGTATTATCAAGTGATCAAGTACGACTGGTCAGTTGTCGTATTATCTATCCACTAATTCTATTGATAGTGTATCATACAGTATTTAAGCGTAGGATTGCGTCACGTACAAATTATTTTCTGTATCATAACACAAGCTTATGAATGCAAGGCGGAAATGAATGGACTCTTAACCACATAATCAAATGACTTTTTGTCTTCCTTTTTTTAACATTTATCGTATTTTTTTATATGGGAGGTCATGGGGTATCATGAAAATAAAAAATCTGTTACATTACAGTAGATATCCCGAAGGCTGCTGCCACCTTGACGTGGTTGTCGGGCTTGTCTGTCGTGATGACTCAACTGAACTATATTAGCTGAAATACATTTCTTTAGGTCCTGACATGCTAGGAACGTCGGTTAGAGATCAGTAATACTAAAAGCAGCAACCCAAGGTTCGAAGAAGTCGTACTACCGACTGTATAGAGGTGTGACGGTAGTAAAATGTTTCCATCGGACGACCATTATTTACAGAGATGTTGTCTTCTCACAACGGAAGAAAGAGGTTAGAAAAGATCGACCTTGAAAATGTTTCACCTCACCTTACACCATGGATTTCCGTCTCAGTCGGTAAAGTTTTTTGATGTACGGATTTAACACATTAAAAACTACCTATAAAAAAGATATGCACTACCGAACACAAACAGTTATCCCTTGAGCTCTGTGGTCACTCTCTCAGGTCACTAAGACCAAAACTAATCCGACTTCTTTTTCAGGGCCCTCAAAAAGAAATATCCTTCGACGGTGTGGGCAGCTGGGTATTGACAACTGCCCTCATACCTCTAACCAGTGTGTACCACATTCCATGATGCATTTGACTGACTATAGTAGACATTAAGAGATTTATACACTGTAATGTTTAGGTTTCATTTAATGAACTGATTTCATATTCTGATCTTCATGATGTCACCGACTGAAGTATATTAGCGAAAGAATGAATTACAGTTACTAACTATTTGATTTAACGAATCCATTTTGTCATCTAATGTTATTTAATTGTAACATTACACTGTCATTTATCAATAAGATGTAGATGTTCGTACTTGTGAAGTTAGCTTAACAGAGTTATGTTAAATAAAACAAAATGCAAGCAAGATCAAAATACGCTTACTTGTATAATTTAACTTTCCAATTATAAAGACTGTCATTTTGTAGTTCAACGGTGAAAATCCCTAGGAAAAAAAGTAATTGATAATAAATAAAATAATTTGAAACAGTAAGAAAAAAACAAATAAATTTTTTGGATATGATGTTTGTTGGCTTTAATCAAGTAAACAGCTTATTTGACTATGATTAATCTCCAAATAAAATTCATTCATTTTATAAATTGAATAGACAAACAAATAATGACTAAATATATGCATTTATTGTTGACTTTTAACAACTTTAGCCAGTCATTGTACCATAAATAGTGCTATAAAAATCTGGGTCATCCACACTCATACATAACGTATTTATGACTATTGAATCGGTCAAATGCACACTGTAAAGATAAATGATGCATTTTAAATTAAAACAAGAACCATTTGTTTAAAAAAATTAGGTTGAAAATAAGAACTATCCAGTTAATAAATAAAGATATTTTTTGTGATAAAAGGTTAGTGAGAATAGCTCACCTTGTTTGTAACTGTCTGATCGATAAATCTCTCTTAGCTCTTTCATCAAACGGTCAGATGATTGAATTGAACCTTTAGTAATTCCCTGAAGACACAATGATAATAATAATAAACATCAGTAGAAGATTGGCTAATATAAATAACAGAAGCGGAGTGAAATACACCAATGAATAGAGTAAGCCTGTTAGATATAATCAATGTAGCGCTTGACACGAATATGCGTTGGTCTAACTTTTCGTACTACATTAGCATGATAAAATGAATTTTTATCATGAAATGAATAGTGAACTAACTAAAATAATGTAAAAACAGTAATAGTGAGAACGACTGAACATTAAGAATACGGTTTAAGAAAGGAATGAAATGTTTTGTATGAGGGAGTACTAAAATTCATGTTATAGAGAAAGATTAAGTGAACGCATCTGGGTTATTTTGATTTGTTCTGAGTCGAATCACGTAACGTTTCTAACAACTGGTTAGGGTTATCGCATGGACCCTTAACCAGGTAGTCTGCGCCTACCCAAACACTTCCAAATTACTGCCCGATACTGAATTAAAGAAGAATCACCAACAAATTTATTTTGTTCAGAGTACGTTCGGCACAACAATGCACAGAATAGTGAAAGGTATGCAAAAGGTTTTATAATAACAATAAATGATTTCCGCCACAAGCTGGAAAATGATTGTGAAGTGGTAGCTTAATGGACTAGAGCAACTGCTAGGCAACATGTTTGAACTGCGCTTCGCTTAGACCCCATTTGGACAATCAATTAATCATAGTAGCAATAATAATAATAGCCTTATTCAATATTATATGTTTAGTAAGATATTTCAACAAGTTCACTTTACTCTTCATAAACTTTACAATACATATACGTTTGTATACATAAAATTATATTACATCAAATGAGGTTTCCAGAGGTAAGGAAGAATCTTCACAACAGAAAACTTTCTGCAAGTTCAGGAGTATAAGTGTTTGGTTAGGTTAGTTTTCAAAGCTTGTTCATTACAAAGTATATGTACTAAACACCGTATCGTCGATTTTTGCTACTTTTCTTTGTGTGCATACATTCTACTTTGACTGAGTCTTACTCTCCCAGAAGATAGAGAAGTATTACTAGGCCCCATACACACACAGACACACAAAAGTGGAAATTCAAAGCCGAGTTTACTATTCTGTACTTGATCAATGTGAGTTGAATTTGGAAAACAAATGAAGTTTTTGGTACTAATGAAGTAACTACATTTTCTTACGATCTGTATCACCACAGTTACGAGTCGTCATATGATCAAAAACTAAATATAGTTTTAAAAACTAAGTTAAAGAGAAACGGTAATTTAATTTATCTGATCAACAATCAGAATTGTCACTGGTGATCCAAAAAAAATATTAATGGGATAATCTTTTGAACGTTTAATAAGAAACATCACCAGTTCGTGTACTTAATTCTCGTCTATGGGGATATACAACATTTGAGTGTTGGAGAATTTCCAAACAATCATACGTTAAAAAGTCGACAAACTTCCTCTAGAAAGCAATCGCGGTGGTGGCAGATCATTAATTAATTAACGATTTTTACAATGATTGTACAAATCATTAGAGAATTGTATGTTTCTTTCTTTTCCTCTTAGAAAAAATTCCATCCAGCATGGTTTTTTTCAAAGGTCTGAAAACCATGAGTAAACAAATTTGGAGATGACAAATAACGTTAACTGAGGTTGGAAATTTCAGTTACCTAATAATGATCGAGTAGTACTGTGTTTACTTTGGTCTCAGAAACTCGATTTTTTCTAGCAATTAGCGTTCACTAATATATATATATATATATATATATATATATATATATAACAATGAAACGTACCTGTATTTGTGTAGCCTTGAGTTTTTCCAACTGTTCAGCATCTTGAGATGAAATACCATCGTATTCAGGACGATCATCTCCCGTAATACTATTTAAATAAAAGACAACAGATAAATTCAAGAAAACAAACCATGTATACACATACATAAATATAAATGTATGTTGGGAAGGAAAACATCTATAATTCAGTGATGAATTACATTTCTTAGTCAAGCTAGTTAATTTAGTGATTTTGCGAATTCCATACACGCACATCAGATTATTGATTAACTCATAGTTCAATTTATTCGAATTTATTGATTGACCAAACATTTAAAACGACGTTACATTATTATCATCAGCATTATTGTGGAGAGGACAACTTACAGATGCATTCCAAATGAGGACCGGAGTCAGACAAGGCTACTTGCTCTCACCCTTTCTCTTTTTTTGGTGGTGGACTGAATTATGAAGACCTCTACATCTGAAGGGAAACACATAATACAATGGACATCTCGGAATCAACTAGAAGATTTGACTTCGCAGACGACCTAAGCTTCATATTCCATACACACAAACAAATGCAGATGAAGACAACTAGTGTAGCAGCAACCTCTGCAGCAGTAGGCCTCAACACATACAAAGAAAAAAGCAAGGTCCTCAAATACAACACGGAGAACGCCAAGCCAATCACACTTAGTGGAGAAACTCTGGAAGAGGTGGAATCTTTCACATACCTGATCAGCATCATCATCGATGAACAATGAGGATCTAACGCAGACGTAAAGGTAAGAATTGGTAAAGTAAGGACAGCATCCCTACAGCTGAAGAACGTACGGAACTCAAAACAACTGTCTGTAAGCTAACGTCAAAGTCAGAATCTTCAATACGAACATCAAGATAGTTCTGCTGTACGGAGCTGAAACTTAAAGAACTACTACAACCATCATCAAAAAGGTAAAAGTATTTATAAACAGCTGTCTACGCTAGGTACTCAATGTCTGTTGGCCGAATAGCATCAGCTACAACCTACTATGAGAACAAACCAGCTTCCATCTGAAGAGGAAATCAGGAAATAGAAGTTGGAGCCAGATAGGACATGCATTACGGAAATCATCAAAATGCATTACAAAGCAAGCCCCACTTTGGAATCCTGAGAGGAAGAGGAAAATAGGATGACCAAGGAACGCATTTGGTCGGGAATTGGAATTAGACATCAAAAAAATGGATAACAATTGGAGAAAACTGGAATGGATTGCCCAGGACAGAGTTGGATGGAGAATGTTGGTGGGCGGCCTATGCTCCCTCACGAGGGGTAACAGGAGTAAGTAATTATTGGGAAAGTTGTTTTAATTAGTGGTTGCTGAATAAATCAATCTGCTTCTACGGTCTTGTTTTCTTTCTTGCATCGACAAGGCAGTCATCTTATTTCGTTGTAAGTGGCGGGTAGGTGTTCTACAGTCATAGCAAAACAGCTGTACTATTAGCAGAAATCTGTATTTGGTTCAAGCCACAACACTGATATATCAGATTTGTTTCAAGGCATTACAATATAAAGATATGATTTACACTGAGTAAGATTTGCTAGTTATATAAACAATAATTAAAAAATGGAAATACCAAAGGTTGGGACTGAAATAATAATAGGACAGTTTACACCTTAAAATTCCACAAAGAGATAGTATCGATGTATGCCGAAAAAATGTAGATTAAGGAATTGGAAGAAAGCAAAAAAATAGTCGGTGAATAGTGTAGGGATTACAATGTTGAATATTTCAACCAATTCGATGCGACTCAGTAGCCAATTATAGATCCGCGATGTTAGGATTGTGAAATCACCAGATACAACATATGAAGGAGAAATCAATATGTACATTGAATGAAGATAATTCTTATTCGGTTGACTTTTAATGCATTTTTATTCTATGAATTTACTCAATATGAAGTTAGTTATTAGAATTTGTTGTGAATTTTTTTATTGCAATCACAAATTCACTCTAGTTTTGTACTCAAGTGACGATTGATGGGCTAACAAATTTTTGTAATTATTAATCACTGAATTTAATCTGTATATACGATGAAATCAACTTGAGTGTAATTTAACTGTTCCTAGAGTTTTTATCAAGAAAAGCAGCTATACAAACATGGACTCTTCATTTTAGTTAATGAGTAGGGAAGAGTATGGAAGTAGTTCTGATCATCTTAATGAAGTCAGATTTGGAAATAATTAGCTTATTGTACAAATATATCGTTTTTACGTACTACTCTTTGAGGTATAATTATGTGATAGCTATGGATACCAGCTGGATGGTGTTTGGAACACAGTCAACGAATCAGGGTTTAAATCTGCTATCCCATGATTTACAGTTGTGCTTTTAAATCACAGAGTCATTTTAAAAAAGGATTTTCATGGTTTGGTAAAAGGCAAATAGTGAATACACTTACGTTACTGAATTCAACCTATTAATAGTTACACAGGTTAAATCATGTTAAGAGTATCAAGTTCTGAGCTGAGAAGAAATAGCCGTCTGAAGTTCCATTTTCCAGTAGCTCACTACTTAGTGGAAATTATTGAACAATTTATTATATTTATCAGAGAAATAGTGTAAATGTCAGTTGTCTTGACAAAAATAAAGTTAACTAGAAACCTTAAAACTCACGAAACTTCAAATGGATCGTTCAGTGTCACATCTTCATCTTCGAAACCAGTATCTTCTGCATCACTATTGCCGTCGCCAGATGATTGACGAGGTTCAGCAGTCGAAATAGTATCAACAGGAAGCTATAGGTGAAACAGATTAACAAAAACGCGTTCAGAGAATCCAGACGACCTATATGATAAATAAACTTGCAAGTGTTTTTCCTTGAGTTTTATTACTCTTAGAGCTTTAGTTTTGGTAGATACAGCTACAAAGTCAGTTAGGTCATCTTTATTGTCAGCTCATGGAAAAGTGAGGTAATCGAAAACCTCTGGATATTTACAAGTTATTTCTTGTTAAGTCGATAACATGATGTTCATGACTCACTAGATGGACGAGGATTATTAATTTTTAAAAAAAATTGGAAAGCAACTATTTTGCGTTAAAAGTAGTAGGGAAGTACCATCTAGGTAAATGGATACCGAATATATTTAAATCTTGGTTCCTCGTGAAATCGTACTGAAAGTAACATTTGAAAATTAAAACCCAGAAAACAAAATTATAAAACATTAAGGGACGAGCTATAAATGTTGTCTATTCTGCTATACACGCAACAAAATATTAGTTTAACGGAACAAATATAAACTTACAGGCTCAGGATTGAAGTCTGGACAGAGATTGTTTAATTCAGGAGGATTTGGCAAATTTTTGTATCGACATAATTCAGTTACAAGTATCTTTACTTGGCGATCAATCTGCAGTATAATTGAGTGGTTATAATTGATTTGATAACAAAAATAATTTACCGTATAGTTGCTTGGTTCAACTGTTTGTAGTCCTCGGAAAATTTGTGTGACAAACGTATCATCAGAATCGGAAAACCATATTGGAGACGATTGTGGATATGTACCCTAATTATTTAAAATAAACAAAAACCACTTAACACTAAAGACACAGAAAGTTAAGCAGACTAAACTACAACGGGCTATTAACTTGTATAAATTTTTAGAAAGAACACTAGTTTATTCGGAGCCACAATGAATTTCAGTAATTGATAGTTTTAAATCAGTTAACGAATGTTAGCCGTAGTGGTGTTTTACTTCCGAATTGTGCATCGAATCATATCAACCTAGATTTTTAATGTGTGGTATGGTCTCGGGTAACGGCGATTACTCTAACGACACTGTGAAAGCGGATGGAAGTCTCTTTTCTCAGCTATGACCACTTTAGAAAACAAATTACTACTGAGCTGAATGGAATATTGCTGAGAAGCACTGTTTGAAATTGATGCATAAAATTCCCCCAATTATTTCCATATATAAGCTGTCAGTGGACGCAGTCAAGTAGCTAGAAAAATTGAGAAATAATTTAAATGCTGTCTGTGAGCTTTTTACGAAACGAAAGTAGGGAAAATATTCAGTAGGTGCCATTAACTCTGTTAGGGATGATATAATCAAACAGAACCCCCCATTTTAACGGAGCGAAAGTTCGACTCAATGATGCAGTATACAGAAGACTAACTGTTTGCATTATTATGGAACCATTCGAAGGAATCATAAAACTTCGACCGGAAGAACAGTTATGAACATGGCTTAGGACAAGCTGAGACATTCATTCGAGACAATTTACTAGCTAGTGGCTTAGGAGTACGATTCTATTCTTTAGAGTAGAAGAAGCATCGCTCGAATGTGTGACGTACAGATTTAACGGCCAGTAAGGAATGTACTATTTTAACATACTCTCAGAGAATGCATGGTTCAAATCTAAGGATGCTTGCAAAGCTGTGATTTTTATACAGTAGATATCTCCAAATACACTCATTAACTGACCGCTCATGTATGATAGAACAGGTTCAAAAAATCGACATATAAAGCTCCAGAACTCATCCTTTTACTAGTTTAGACTGGTACATAATCAAGCACTGTGAGATTAGAAGCGGATATGAAGTGTTTAGTCAGTCAGACATAACGTAGGACCTGGAATATGTGCATGTTCGAGCTGGTACACCATATAAGCATGGTTAAATGAGATTATCGAGACAAACCCTAGAGTAGTGGAAGTAACAGCATCAGTAGTAGAATAGGTTGAGTATACACAATATGACTCCACAAGTGAATTCCCAGAATAGATCTTTATGTGAAAAACTGGCGGCGATTGAAGATACTACGTCCTTACATCAAACGAAGTCAGAGAATTACAAATTGAAATTACAGGCAGACGTTTTTGCTTAGTAAACAGACTGATGGCAGTTAGCGAGGAATACCAATAACAATGATGCACTGAAATTCGGCCCTAATTTGAGTCATTGTACGATATGAAACTTTTATTCAAGGTTAAAGTGTACATGGACATAGAGACTGCAGTTACTTGTGAATCAGGAGCCAACTAAGGTTGATGAATTGTTTTCATTTCGTTAAGACCTTCAGAACATAGACGAGAGCTTGTTTTGGATTTAACACCCGAATTGTATCAGATTAAATCTGGAATATAACTTTAAGCAGGGAGCTCACGTTCTAAAATATCAAGTACACTTACGCGATACGGTGTAAGAACTAGAGTGGTAAGACAGCTTTTTAATACTTCCTAAGAGGTGCCGAAAAGCTTCAACCTTTCGATTTTCCCGTCGTTTATTAAGCCATGTAAAATCATACCATGCGTCGGAAGATGACCTTAGTATTGGTGCCTTGTTTCCTCAATCTACGACTGATTATTTGAAAGGGAATTTCCTAGAAATTTCGAGAGCATATATAGACCACCAATTACTGAATCACGAGCCCCTGAAGTTTTCCACCACGGCGTATATTACTAGCACTTTCTAAACACATGTTTAAGGGAACTAGATCCCCATAGTATCGTTATTAATGGCTTTATTCGAAATTATATATATATATATATATATATGTATTCCCAGCAGTAATTTATGCTAGTCACTTAACCTTCGATTTCTGGAGTTTAAAACTG